ATCAGAATTTCATAATGAATTACCTTGGTACCATAATTAGATGTCAAAATAATAGAGTCATCGATCAAAAACTTTTCAATAGAACAAAAATTGCTATAAAAATCAAAGATAGTTGCTAAATTACCAAGTGAAAAAATAAAGAAAGCGACTAAAATGAACTTGACTGAGAGCTTCTCCATATTTTTTCTAGTGCTGCTATTGTTGTGTTTCTATTAATTGTCTGCTTGAGATAAAAGATGAGTAATACCTTCCAATCTTCAAAGTTTCAAATTTATAGAGCTAATCCATCTACCATTTACGTAGAGAAATCTATAAATTAAGTTAGGAAATCTTGTTAGATTCTGTTACATTCCCTTTTCACAGAATTCTACGAATTTAAGTTAGGAAACCTTGGTAGACGATTTTTTTCCATTTTTCATTTCACTTTGAAAATGATTCAGAGACAGTTTTTTTGTATAACTTTTTTATACAACCTTATGTATTATTTAGTGATTTGTTCTTTTTATTCAAGGGTCCACTTGTAATATAATATGCATCTATTCATTTAATAACAAGTGAAAATCATATAAAAAATTTGTACAAAATGTTATCTCAATATCATTACCTCTTTTCAAATAATAGTAGAAAGAAAGGCTAAATCCAATGTATAGGGAGTATCAAACCTTATATGGTAATAAAACTAGCAATGATATAGCTGTAATATCAGATAAGATTATGAGATTACAATTATGATGTATCGTTAGATGAATAAGTATATACAATATTACTAATGGACTCCTAATTGAAAATGGTCAATCATAAAATAATACTTTATGATTGAAAGCATGCAATACCATGTGATACTGTAAAGTATGTAATTTTGATAATAAAATTAAACATTAGAAATGTTGAATTTGCAACTAAGATAGAAAACCAAACATCTTAATTTGATTGAACATCTTAATTTATTTAGAGATAAATCTCCTCTCTTGATCAGTGGTGGGGCTACATGGAGACCAAGAGGGGCCATGCCCCTGGTCTTTTGAAAATATTTCAATTAGCATCTAAAAAAATATCAATATCAGTCTAAGCCTTTAAACATAAAATAAGAATTTATTAAAAATATCTGAGAAATTTTTTGATTATATCTATGGGTTTTCTTTTAATTTCATCCTCTATTGTCTTGTATCGTGCATGTGGGTTAAGTAACCTTGTACTCTCTTGTTAATATACAGCATGTAGGAATCGACTAAACGGGGTATAATTATATTATGTTTTAATTATTGAATCGAATAGATGTCAAAGAATGTGTCAAGCCAAAAGGTTAATCAATCATTTTCCTATACAAATTTAATTATATATTTTCTTTTTCTTTTTCCTTACTTTCGTTATTCCGACAATTTGGACTGCATAACGATTTTTTGAATTGTTTTTTGGATGTACCATAACATTAATTATATTGGCTATCTTTCTTTTGATTTATTTTTGTGCTATAATTATTCAACATAATTAAGTTAATTAAGAAATGGTGCAACCCTAAATGATCCTTTACACAAGTAAAAACTCTACTCTCAAAACTCTTTATCTTTGTTAGTGGTAATAGTGTGAGCTTGTCTGTTTGGAATGCCTTATTAGTTCTTATATTTTTTTTCCATGTTCTTAGTTCTTACTTTAATATAGTAGATTGATACTATCATTTTGATGTCTTTAATGCTAGTGTGTTTTATATTTACGTGTTCTGCAATTTGATGTTCAAGTATTTTACCTTATCAAATATATTTAAAATAGTGTTGAAAATAGATTAATTTGGTTGAAACCACATCAATTCTATTTAAATTGGATTGGTTTGTTTATAATATATTGGTAGATTGAATTGGTTTTAAAAATTTTATTAATGATTTAAATTGATTTAGTTTTAAAAGGATAATGATATACAAGACCAAAATTTTGCTACCAATGACATGGTATAAAATATATCATTTAAAATATTAAAAAGTAGAGCTTATATTATTTAATGAGTGACACTTTTCGTTTTATTGATATCCATAATTTATTACATGCATAAATTTATTTAATGACGTGATTTATACTATATTATTAATCTCAAATTTTCATCCTAAATTTTCATCCGTTATATTATGCCTAA